CTGCAGTCCCACCATGACGCAGGCATGTTTTGGACTTCTAACCCCTTTAAAACATTGTGTGTTACATACTTCTGGCTTATACCATTGGATGCGTAGTTTTCTTCTGCATCCATTGATACCGACCATGAGTCTGTGTCATTAAAGGGAACAGAGCTAGAGTGGTGTTTGTGAGACAAGGGTGATCCCGAAGGGGCCCAGTAAAAAAGACACGGTTTGAGCTACAAACTATTAAAAGCTATCTATGAAAAGCTACATACAGTGGCTTGCGAAAGTATTCACCCCCCTTGGCATTTTTCCTATTATGTTGCCTTACAACATGGAATTAAAATTGATTTTTGGGGGGTTTGTATCATTTGATTTACACAACATGCCTACCACTTTGAAGATGCAAATTATTTTTTCTTGTGAAACAAACAAGAAATAAACAAAATAACAGAAAACTTCAGCGTGCATAACTATTCAACCCCCCAAAGTCAATACTTTGTAGAGCCACCTTTTGCAGCAATTACAGATGCAAGTCTCTTGGGGTATGTCTCTATAAGCTTGGCACACCTAGCCGCTGGGATTTTTGCCCATTCTTCAAGGCAAAACTGCTCCAGCTCCTTCAAGTTGGATGGGTTCCGCTGGTGTACAGCAATCTTTAAGTCATACCACAGATTCTTAATTGGATTGAGGTCTGGGCTTTGACTAGGCCATTCCAAGATATTTAAATGTTTCCCCTTAAACCACTCGAGTGTTGCTTTAGCAGTATGCTTAGGGTCATTGTCCTGCTGGAAGGTGAACCTCTGTCCCAGTCTCAAATCTCTGGAATACTGAAACAAGTTTAAATTCTGACCAGTTTCCCAGTCCCTGCCGATGAAAAACATCCCCACAGCATGATGCTGCCACCACCATGCTTCACTGTGGGGATGGTGTTCTCAGGGTGATGAGAGGTGTTGGGTTTGCGCCAGACATTTTCCTTGATGGCCAGAAAGCTCAATTTTAGTCTCATCTGACCAGAGTACCTTCTTCCATATGTTTGGGGAGTCTCCCACATGCCTTTTGGCGAACACCAAACGTGTTTGCTTATTTTTTTCTGGCCACTCTTCCGTAAAGCCCAGCTCTGTGGAGTGTACGGCTTAAAGTGGTCCTATGGAAAGATACTCCAATCTCCGCAGTGGAGCTTTGCAGCTCCTTCAGGGTTATCTTTGGTCTCTTTGTTGCCTCTCTGATTAATGCCTGGTTTGTGAGTTTTGGTTGGCGGCCCTCTCTTGGCATGTTCGTTGTGGTGCCATATTCTTTCCATTTTTTAATTTTTTTAATGGTGCTCCGTGGGATGTTCAACATTTTCGATATTTTTTTATAACCCAACCCTGATCTGTACTTCTCCACAACTTTGACCCTGACCTGTTCAGAGAGCTCCTTGGTCTTCATGGTGCCGCTTGCTTGGTGGTGCCCCTTTCTTAGTGGTGTTGCAGACTCTGGTGCGTTTCAGAACAGGTGTATATATACTGAGATCATGTGACAGATCATGTGACACTTAGATTGCACACAAGTGGACTTTATTTATCTAATTATGTGACTTCTGAAGGTAATTGGTTGCACCAGATCTTTTTTAGGGGCTTCATAGCAAAGGGGGTGAATACAAACACACGCATCACTTTTCCGTTATTTATTTTTTAGAATTTTTTGAAACAAGTAATTTTTTTCATTTCACTTCACCAATTTGGACTATTGTGTGTATGTCCATTACATGAAATCCAAATAAAAATCAATTTAAGTTACAGGTTGTAATGCAACAAATAGGAAAAACGCCAAGGGGGATGAATACTTTTGCAAGGCACTGTAAGAGTTGTTAGAATGTAAGGGGTTCTTCTACATATAAGATCATAGGAAATCCAAGGACATAGTGTCTATAATACTTTAATAAGCTCACATACAGTGGGGAAAAAAAGTATTTAGTCAGCCACCAATTGTGCAAGTTCTCCCACTTAAAAAGATGAGAGAGGCCTGTAATTTTCATCATAGGTACACGTCAACTATGACAGACAAATTGAGAAAGAAAATCCAGAAAATCACATTGTAGGATTTTTAAAGAATTTATTTGCAAATTATGGTAGAAAATAAGTATTTGGTCACCTACAAACAAGCAAGATTTCTGGCTCTCACAGACCTGTAACTTCTTCTTTAAGAGGCTCCTCTGTCCTCCACTCGTTACCTGTATTAATGACACCTGTTTGAACTTGTTATCAGTATAAAAGACACCTGTCCACAACCTCAAACAGTCACACTCCAAACTCCACTATGGCCAAGACCAAAGAGCTGTCAAAGGACACCAGAAACAAAATTGTAGACCTGCACCAGGCTGGGAAGACTGAATCTGCAATAGGTAAGCAGCTTGGTTTGAAGAAATCAACTGTGGGAGCAATTATTAGTAAATGGAAGACATACAAGACCACTGATAATCTCCCTCGATCTGGGGCTCCACGCAAGATCTCACCCCGTGGGGTCAAAATGATCACAAGAACGGTGAGCAAAAATCCCAGAACCACACGGGGGGACCTAGTGAATGACCTGCAGAGAGCTGGGACCAAAGTAACAAAGCCTACCATCAGTAGGGACTCAAATCCTGCAGTGCAAGACGTGTCCCCCTGCTTAAGCCAGTACACGTCCAGGCCTGTCTGAAGTTTGCTGGTGTGCATTTGGATGATCCAAAAGAGGATTGGGAGAATGTCATATGGTCAGATGAAACCAAAATAGAACTTTTTGGTAAAATCTCAACTCGTCGTGTTTGGAGGACAAAGAATGCTGAGTTGCATCCAAAGAACACCATACCTACTGTGAAGCGTGGGGGTGGAAACATCATGCTTTGGGGCTGTTTTTCTGCAAAGGGACCAGGACGACTGATCCGTGTAAAGGAAAGAATGAATGGGGCCATGTATCGTGAGATTTTGAGTGAAAACCTCCTTCCATCAGCAAGGGCATTGAAGATGAAACGTGGCTGGGTCTTTCAGCATGACAATGATCCCAAACACACCGCCCGGGCAACGAAGGAGTGGCTTCGTAAGAAGCATTTCAAGGTCCTGGAGTGGCCTAGCCAGTATCCAGATCTCAACCCCATAGAAAATCTTTGGAGGGAGTTGAAAGTCCGTGTTGCCCAGCGACAGCCCCAAAACATCACTGCTCTGGAGGAGATCTGTATGGAGGAATGGGCAAAAATACCAGCAACAGTGTGTGAAAACCTTGTGAAGACTTACAGAAAACGTTTGACCTGTGTCATTGCCAACAAAGGGTATATAACAAAGTATTGAGAAACTTTTGTTATTGACCAAATACTTATTTTCCACCATAATTTGCAAATAAATTCATAAAAAATCCTACAACGTGATTTTCTGGAAATGTTTTTCTCATTTTGTCTGTCATAGTTGACGTGTACCTATGATGAAAATTACAGGCCTCTCTCATCTTTTTAAGTGGGAGAACTTGCACAATTGCTGGCTGACTAAATACTTTTTTTCCCCACTGTAGTTGCTGTCACAAACTACAGACTCCACACAAATATCACTGACTAGTTGGATATTCATTTCCCACTGAGCAAACTATTTCTGTTCTTACAGCATTCATATAAATACATTTTTACCAGGATTTTGCTTTGGCTAACCTTATTTCTTTATTTACATTTGTCAATTAAACTCATGAATGCAACTGTTTATGTCCAAAAAAAATTGTGTTCTACTTGTAGTCCTGGTTGTCCTGAAAATAAAATGGTAAAACACTTCATAGTGAGGCTAATGTAGATAAATGAAGGAGATAAATGAAAAGCCGATTTTTGCTTGGGTCTCAGGACTCTTAGAGGTAAAGCACCCACTAGAGTCGATTGACGCACCCATGCGTCACACTGTGACATCATTTTGAATATTGAATAGCTCCCCGAGTGTTCAAGCTAGAGACTTACTTGTAGTGGCTGCAGCTCAATCCCCTCTTTCTGTCGATATAAAGTTTGTGCCTATTCCATAACATGGGCTTGTGAAGCGGCCTTTTTCACATGAGAAGATCCGGACAAGACAATCGTCACGAAATCGTCTGTAAAACCCGAACTGTGTGAGCTAGAAACTAATAAGTCACCACCATCGAAAGATGAGACTCTCACGAACACTACAGTGTTGGTTGTTTGGCATCTACAAGCTGTACGGCAGTCATCTGAACGTCTTGCGGACGTCTTCATTTCGATGAGATCTTCTCACAAAACCGACTGTCCAGACCGAACCTTTGGAGCTACAAACTAATATGTCACCAATATCAAAAGGGGAGACATTCACGAAAATGAAGGTGTTCTGGTTTATGACGCACACAAGCTTCAGGGGAATCGTCTCAAGGGAAACCAGTACCGGCTAAGTGCAAAGTCATAGGGGTCAATGTGCACAATAATGTGCCACAATACGACAAAGTCAATTTTTTTGTTGATAAGAAAACAAATCTGCTCAATATAGACGACACTTCAAAAACTTGTTCCATGATTTATTGTTGCTTCTCTGTTTGCAGACAATGTTTCAATGCATTTTTTGGCTTAGCAGTAAAGCAAATCAGCGACCACATCTACTAGTATAGCGACAGACACTTCAAAAACTTGTTCCTCATGATTTATTTTTTGACTTCTCTTGTTTTGCCATGTACAAATGTGTTATTCAATGCATTTTTATGGGCTATAGCAGTAAAGGCCAAATTCAATGTTTCATGAAATATATATCTATATATCTATCTATATATATATATATATATATATATATATATATTATGCCTACAGGGGTCCTAATATTCAAAATCAAATGGCTAAATTATAAACTTTATGATCGTCTTAAAACATTTCCATATTCTAGCTTAGTAGATATTGCGATCTAAGGGCTTAGACATACAGGGGCAACCGCAAAGTGAAATGTTGGTTTTTGATTGAGTTGTTAATTGAGAATAAGTCAGAAGAGATTGTTGGTAAGGAGTGATTGACAAGAAGTAATTTGTCTGCAAATAATTTAATGTCATCCTATCTAATCGTGAACATTTTTACAAGCATTGCAAAAGTCAGAATCCAAACAGTGACTGTGTGTAATAAATAGTACAAAATTCTAATCTTAATTTATCAACATTGTATTGTGCTTGCTCTGTAAGCAATCAAAAAATATTCTGCATCAGAGAAGTAGGAGTTCAAAGTTCAATATACAAAGTGGGACATAGGCTACTCTTCTCTCTACAATTGCACTCACACAACTTAACCTCTACTTCTAAATAGGTCATTCTTCAATGATAGACAGTGTAAGAAGTCTTTAACTGCTTTGCAAATCTAAAGATCCAACCGCCTTTCAAAAAACTGGATTGAATTTAGAGACGAAATGTGAATATTATTAAGTACAGTATATTATTTTGGGCTGGTATCCATTGTATGCGCGCTCTCTCCTTCGTTTCACTCCAGACCACATAGGTTAGTGTTGCTAGTGAAAGTCCACCTTGCATCTCATGTCTTATCACAGTATCATAGGCATCCTGTTGCGCACACACACACACATCACCTATGATATGACATCACTTCCAGAGTCACAGAAAGGACAGCAGCATCCAGTGCAATCACAGTGCTGTAGCGTTCCTCATATCCTCTCTACCTTTCCTTCTGTCCTTCTTTTTCTCTTGGCGAATCCCACTTGCAGTGTTTCAGGGTGTGGTCCTTCATTGTGGGGACCATGGTTTGTAGGGACAAAGGCCTGTCAGTCTCTCTGTGCTTGGTCAGCCTTCCATCCTGTAGAAGCCCAAACATTCCAGTTACTGTTTTCATGTTCTCGTGTTGTCTAATCCGCTCCTATCAGCCCTTGACGGCGTCAGTGGCGAGGGACTCCAGGAGGGATCGGTAAATGTCTGAGCGCAGGAAGCGAGGGTACGAGTCTCTCTCCATCAGCCCATAGACAATCTTCTGGGCATCGTCAAAGCACTGGAGTGTAGGATTCTTCACGGCCCTCTTGATCTGCTCCCTTGTGTGGTAGTCAATGTTTATCTGGAACAAGAGCAAGATTCATTTAGATTTAGAAAGTACAGATGCATTTCATATAGCATGTCTGTAAATAAAGATTTGAGGGGGGTTTAGTAACCAGATGATATTGATGAAATACATTGAAACATTAATGATGTTACAGAGAGTTCAAATGCAGTGTTGCTTTCTGTAGAAATGTCACTGCAGCTATTTAAATCTCTAGCATGTAGCCATGTACTGTAATACATACTGTATTATATCAGTCTTACCTCTTTAGGAGCCTCAGCCTTTATGAAATGCTCATATATTTTCTTTGCCTTCGATGACATTCTGAATGAAGACTTGATTTTCTTGTACTCCTCACACGTCAGCCAGAACTCAATGTTCTCATCGCTGAATTCAGACTTCAGAAAGGTTCTGAAGGTGGCCAGTCCATCTGTGGGGAAGAATAAAAACACACCAAAGCATGAAACAATGATACAGCCCCAAGCCTGGAAACACGTGCTGTTTTTGTTCCACATTTCTATCTTGCTGTTTTCAGTTAGATATTTTATCTAATTTAGCTACTTATCATGAACTATTTTGATCGTCTGATAAAGTGAAACTTACATTTAGACTCGAGGAGTCTCTCCAGTGACTGAGACCATTGTTGGGTATCTTCTAAACTTAGCCTGCTGGGAAGAAAATGTGTGGTGATTACTCAACTAGAATTCAAATCTGGGTAAAAATAAAACTGGTATGGCAAAAGGGCACATAGAACCAACATAATTTGGAAACAATTATACCGCACAGTTATCAAGTGTGTTGCACCGTGTGCTTGCCTATGTGCGTGTGTGCGTGCCTGCTTTCTGAAGTTTAATTTGGATTCCCACCCACTACCACCAATGGATGCTACAACACACATGGTATTTGATTTTGAACAATAAAATATATGTAATATATATATATATATATATATATATATATATATATATATATATATATACATATATGTATATATATATATGTAAAATATATATATATATTTAAAATAATATAATAATAATAATAACAACAACAATTAGGATCAACACAGAGTAACAGTGTAAGGAAGGGTAAGAATCCTTACCTCTCAGAGGTGGATGAATGTGAGAACATGCATTGCAGTCGGCACATAAAGTTCTTTCCTCTATGGAGAGAAAAAAAGAGCGGTCATGATCGTCTCATAAAACAACTTATTCCATTGCTGTATATGGACATCTCAGTATATAGTATCTAGGTAGAAGGTATTCACAGGTTTAGTATAACATATGCAGTGTTTATATACAATGTGTGGCCTATAGTATGTAGTATGACGCTAATACATATGTTACAAGCATTGTATGACAAAACTATACAAAATATTTAGTATTTAGAAAGTATATGACAAATCCATAGTATTATGAGAGTACATTGAATATATGGCCTAATATTTACAAAATATACAAAAGCTCCACAATACATTTTCCAAAATTGCCAGCTGTCGAGAGTATAAAAAAGCTATAAGCTACACTCACAAGTTCTTGTTCCTCCTCCTGTCGTCCTGCTCCATATTGAAGTGCTGTGTTTGTGTCAGTGTTTCTGTGATGATTAGGTTGGGCATGTTTTAACTCCACACTCTCTGTCCCCTGCTGCTGCTCATGCTGGGGTGAAACACTCTCTGTATAGAGGGGTCTCCCTCCACCTCAGGTCTTTATATGCAGGGCTGGAAGGTGAAACACTGAAACATCACTGACTCAGCCCAGTGAACCGTAGAAAGAGAGGAAGCCCCTATGCTCTCTCTCTCTCTCTCTCCCTGTGACATGCGCTCTCTGTCTTTTTGCGACACTCTCTTTCTCCCTCTCTCTCTCTCTCTCTCTCTCTCTCTCTCTCTCGTCTGCCTCTCTCTCTCTCTCTCTCCTCTCTCTCTCTCTCTCTCTCTCTCTCTCTCTCTCTCTCTCTCTCTCTCTCTCTCTCTCTCTCTCTCTCTCTCTGGGCAGCCTAGCTGCTCCTCGTTCAAAGTGTGCTCTTTATGTCCACAGTATTTTTAGTCTGAGCTGCTAAAATGCAAATGACAGAGACATAGTGATAGGCAAATCATGACCTTCGCTTGGTACGTGTTTTGATACGCTGTTGAAATGTCATTGGGATGTTTCAGCTCTCATACTGTATCCAGCAGCAAGGTGTATCTTTACTAGAATATATGATGATTAAATTCAATATGCACAGTCAGCTGTTTAGTTTGTAGATTGTGGGTTTATGGCCTTTGCATAGAGTAACCAGAGTCATATAGACAACTCATGGCCAATGTGCATATGACTCTAGGCAGCCATGTCCAATGACCTGTCCCTTGTCATTCTGCACAGTAACTGACGTGGTTCTCCTCAACTTACCCAAAGATGGCCACAAGCAGTCAAGCACAACCAAGTGACACCAAAACATGTCCAGTTATAGTTAATGTGCCTTGTGCCCTCTAGTCCACACCACCACACAACTACCTTTACATCTTACAATAAAAACTGATCAGAGGTTTTAAATGAACACACCACAATCACCTGTGTGGTTGACACCATAAATAAGCTTTTTTAAATGTTATTACATTGTCCTGCAAGGGTTGCTGAATCTCCTCTCTACTTCTGCTTTACACCAATATGAACAATATCCGTTCTAGAAGTTCCTGAGTGACGGTATTGAGTAACTCAGACAGTATCAGAAATACACTGCACATTACTCACTTCCCTTCGGCTGTCAAGGCAACCGTTTGGGACAGAGGAAAACAGCGTCAGACTCTGTGTGAAGGACAAAGTGGTGTGATGTTGCCGTGATGCAGGAGAGGTGAGGTCTCTGTCATCTAGCAAGAACATCCCCTCATACACTACCATTCACTTCGAAATGTTCTTGTTTTCGAAAGAAAAGCAATTTTTTTGTCCATTAAAATAACATCAAATTGATCAGAAATACAGTGTAGATGCTCCAGATACTCAACTAGTCTCAAGAAGGCCAGTTTTATTGCTTCTTTAATCAGCACAACAGTTTTCAGCTGTGCTAACATATAATTGCAAAATGGTTTTCTAATGATCAATTAGCCTTTTAAAATGATAAACTTGGATTAGGAAACACAACGTGCCATTGGAACACAGGACTGATGGTTGCTGATAATGGGCCTCTGTACGCCTATGTAGATATTCCATAAAAAATCAGCCGTTTCCAGCTACAATAGCCATTTACAACATTAACAATGTCTACACTGTATTTCTGATCAATTTGATGTTATTTTAATGGACCAAAAAAAAAAAAAACGTTTCGAAGTGACCCCAAACATTTGAACGGTACTGTATGTTGTTTAATTTAATATATTATACCATGCTATCGTCTTACTGAGCAAATAAATAGCAAGAGAAGTCGCTATTGTCTGGTCTTCCCTCTATCCAATAGTCCTCATTGAAAATAACAACTCTCACATAAACATTCCCTTTGAAGACTGCTTTTAGTATTTAGTATTTTATTAGGATCCCCATTAGCTATTGCTGAAGCAGCAGCTACTCTTCCTGGGGTCTATTTATAACCTTGTATGTAGTAATAACATTTAGTTAATCTCATAATCATCGTGCAATGTTCAATTGAAGATCCTGCTGCGTTAGCCTCCAGACATTTGTCTTTTATGCGGGTAGGACATCTAGACGGAGAGAGGAAAGTGCATAGTGTGCCATGCTGATGCTAAAAGTCATCACAAAACAGTTGTTCCTTGGTGATGAGATTACTTCCCTAACAAAGGGACACATTCAGGCCAATTTGCCATGCATCAGAGCATCCACTGACTCCAATCCACTGTTGGGTGTTCTGGGTCAAACTAACAGTTATTCTTAGAGCTGTCCAGATTGCCTTTTTAAGACACAACTTTGAGAAATAGAGCCATCTACAGAGTGGGGTCAACGGTGAAAGGGCTAATTTTTCCAACTTCAAGATACCGTCGCTGGGCTGGCTCTGGCCAATTAGCTGAGACAGCTGACGTGTGATCACAACAGACTTACAGGCAGGCAGGCAGCAGGCTGTGGAAAAAGATTTTCTCAGATTCTCCCTGCCCACCGACCACACGCTATTACTCAGTGTCACAGGACAAATTAAAGATTACTCTTCATCCTGACAACATTTACATCCTGATTTATGAAAGTATACTGTATATTTAAACTGACAGGCTAAATCCATGCTATATTAGTATTAAGAGTTAAATGAATAACAGGCATTCATGTTTCATATTGTTGACAGATCCATATCATGAGTGTCAAATAAGCATGAAATGAAAATACTGATTTTTTCCTTTGCCACCAAAAATAACACTTTCATGGAATATTTAAAAGCCTTTTAACCATACGTAACACATTTCTGTAACCATTTGTAATGTAAGTGTCACGCCCTGGCTCTGGGGACTCTTAAATGTTGAGCCAGGGTGTGGATTTGCTATGTTTAGTTTTTCTATGTTTTTGTTCTAGATCGTTTGATCTATGTTGGCCAGGGTGGTTCCCAATCAGAGGCAGCTGTAGCTCGTTGTCTCTGATTGGGAACCATACTTAGGCAGCCTGTTTTGCACTAGTCTTTGTGGGATCTTGATCCGTAAAGGTTTGTTGTGTTATAACCTCAGGACTTCACGTATCGTTTGTTTGTTGTTTTTGTCGTTAAGTACGTTAAATAAAAGTATGTACGCTTATCACGCTGCGCCTTGGTCTGTGTCTTCAGTCAACGATCGTGACAGAAGATCCCACCATAAGAGGACCAAGCAGCGTGCCCAGGAGGAGAAGATGGCGATGTCGCAGGTGGGCAAATGGTGGTCTTGGGAGGAGATATTTGCGGGGAAAGGGCCATGGGCAAAGGTGAATGCCCAGGCAGGACAGGAGACAGAGAGCAGCAGCGGCAACGCAGAGGGTACCGGCCGGGGAGGAAGCCCGAGAGACAGCCCCAATAATTTTATTGGGGGGGGCTAAAAGGGTGTTTGGCGGAGCCACGTACTGTGCCGCGAGTGTTCCGGCACAGTCCTGTACGTCCTGTGCTAGCACCACGCACGTGTCGTGCTAAGGTGGGCATGCAGCTAGGACGGGGTGTGCCGGCTCAACGCTCGTGGCTTCCAGTACCCCTCCTCGGTCCTGTATATCCTGCGCCAGTGCCACGTGCTGTAGCGCCAGTACGAGTGCACAGCCCTGTACGTCCTGTGCTGATGCCTCACACATATTGTGTGGAAATAGGCATTCAGCCAGGACGGGTTGTGTCAGCTCTCCGCTCCAGACCTCCAGTCCGCCTCCACAGTCCGGCCCGGCCCGTTCCGGCTCCCCACACCAAGCCAATGGTGCGTGTTCCCAGTCCAGCCCGGCCTGTTTCTGCTCCCCGCACCAAGCCAGTGGTGCGCGTCGCCAGCCCGGTCCGGCCTGTTCCTGTCCCTCGCACCAAGCCAGTGGTGCGCGTCGCCAGCCCGGTCCGGCCTGTTCCTGTCCCTCGCACCAAGCCAGTGGTGCGCGTCGCCAGCCCGGTCCGGCCTGTTCCTGTCCCTCGCACCAAGCCAGTGGTGCGCGTCGCCAGCCCGGTCCGGCCTGTTCCTGTCCCTCGCACCAAGCCAGTGGTGCGCGTCGCCAGCCCGGTCCGGCCTGTTCCTGTCCCTCGCACCAAGCCAGTGGTGCGCGTCGCCAGCCCGGTCTGTTCCTGTCCCTCGCACCAAGCCAGTGGTGCACGTCGCCAGCCCGGTCCGACCTTTGCCTGTCCCTCGCACCAAGCCAGTGGTGCGCGTCGCCAGCCCGGTCTGGCCTGGTCCTGCTCCCCGCACCAAGCCAGTGGTGTGCGTCCACAGCCCGGTCCGGCCTGTTCCTGCTCCCCGCACCAAGCCAGTGGTGCGTGTGTCCAGTCCGGCACGGCCCGTGCCTGTTCCACCGGGGTCCGGTCCAAGTCCAGTCAGCGGATCCACTCCGGAGCCAAAGCAATCCGCTCCACCGGTGTCCAGTCCAGCTCCGGCCAGCAGGGCCAGACCAGATCAGGGGCACAACGGGGGGGTGGAGAGAGAGTGGTGGTCACGCCCGGAGCCGGATCCGCCTCCGAGGGGGAATGCCCACCCGGCCCCTACCTCTTGTGTTTGTGTGGCGCGGTCGCAGTCCGCACCTTTGGGGGGGGGGGGGGGGTACTGTCACGCCCTGGCTCTGGGGACTCTTAAATGTTGAGCCAGGGTGTGGATTTGCTATGTTTAGTTTTTCTATGTTTTTGTTCTAGATCGTTTGATCTATGTTGGCCAGGGTGGTTCCCAATCAGAGGCAGCTGTAGCTCGTTGTCTCTGATTGGGGACCATACTTAGGCAGCCTGTTTTGCACTAGTCTTTGTGGGATCTTGATCCGTAAAGGTTTGTTGTGTTATAACCTCAGGACTTCAATTATCGTTTGTTTTTTGTTGTTAAGTACGTTAAATAAAAGTATGTACGCTTATCACGCTGCACCTTGGTCCGTGTCTTCAGTCAACGATCGTGACAGTAAGTCCTTCCATTTAGACATTTTGTACCTTCTGTTCTTACCTAAAACTATTCCCAGACTTACATTTTTTACGCCAACGCCACTTTTGATGCATCAGTCAGTCAAGAGGTTTGAATGAATGTACTGTTTAGCACTCTGAATCATTGACACTACTCATCACCACACACCACTCATCTCTAACACTCAATGCTTCTCCATACTCTATATTAATTTATTATTCTTCTCCA